AGGTAGTGGGAGGGATGGGGTGGCTAGATGATGGACACTGGGGAGTGTATGTGCTATGGTGAGCACTGTGAACTGTGTAACACTGATGAATCACACACCTGTACCCCTGAAACAAATAATACATAGTATGTTATTTTATAAAAATTAAATAAATAAAATCTTTTAAAAAACATAATTAATTAAACAAATCTTTAAAAAAAAAGCATTCTGCAAGATGTCCTTTTCTTCTTTAACAGGGAATTAACTACCTGTTATTCTTATGTAAATATCTCTTGTTAAAAATTCTTCCCAGGGTGCCTGGATGGCTCAGTTAACATCTGATTCTTGATTCTGGAAAAAAAAATTTTTCCTTCTGGGACACCCGGGGGCTCAGTCCATTAAGTGTCTGACTCTTGATTTCAGCTCAGATCAGGATGGTCCTGAGAATGAGTCCCTGAGCTGAGCTCTGAGACTGGCAAGTAGTGAGCTTCTCTCCTTCTCCCTCTGCCCCTCCCCCAGCTCATGTACAGGTCCTCTAAAATAAACAGATAAAATCTTTAAAGAAAATGGTTATGATGATAAATTTTAGGGCAACCCTGTCAGGTCTTCTCCCTCTTCAGGAGTTTTGTACCATCACTTTACTAACACTCCATAAAGTTTGCTTTGCTGCCCACCAAAAAAAAAAGAAAAAAAAAGATGATGAATTCTATGTTATGTATTTTTTTTTTACCATAATTAAAAAAAATCTTCCTTAGTGCCCTCGAACTCCTAGGTACTGTGTCATAAATGTGCTTTAGTATATTTCTGGGATCCAAAATGAAATATGGTTCCTAAAATGTCCTCTTTAGCATACAGTGGGATTACCATTACGCTCATTCTGTTCTTATGGCCTGATACTACATGACTCTTGAGGTGAGGGTCAAGGTGCTGCAAGTCAGGCAGTCACGGTGTACGGTGGCTGCATCTTGGATTTATTCCTTAGGTCTTGTTTAAACATGCTGCGGACCCAAATGTAGCACTCTAGTATATCCCTTACAGCATTCATTTTATTAGATTGAGTCCAGCTTTTTCCAGCCTATCAGTATTTCTTTTGGTTCTGATTCTGCGGTATCTTATCTTCACTATACCTCTAAGTTTACAGTCAACCAGAAACTGGTTTGTTAGTGAATTCTAATTTCTTCTCTCAAGACTAAATACTACTTGAGACAAAACCTGTTTCACTATGTGATACACCTGAAACTACTATTTTATATGTCAACTATACTTCAATAATAATAATTTTAAAAAGACACAGAGCTGTTCCACAGCCTCCAATGTTATATCTATTATTTAATTGGGACGCCTGGGTGGTTCAGTTAAGCGCCCCACTCTTGGTTTCAGCTCAGGTGATGATCTCTGGATCCTGAGATTGGACCCCACATCAGGTTCTATGCTGAGCAGGGAACCGGCTTGGGGATTCTTTCCCTCTGCCCCTCCCCCTGCTCATGGATGACACACACTCTCTCTCAGATAAATAAATAAATCTTGAAATAAATAAATAACAAAGAAGCACATCTGTTACTCTGTCACAAAGTTGCCCTAATACTTTGGCAATTGGGGAGTCTGGGTGGCTCAGCCAGTTAAGGGACTGCCTTTGGCTCAGGTCACGATCCCAGGGTCCCAGGAATGAGTCTTGCATCAGGCTCCCTGCTCAGTGGGGATTCTGCTTCTCCCTCTGACCTCCTCCCCTCTCATACTCTCTCTCACTCTCAAATAAAGAAAATCTTTAAAAAAGAAATACTTTGGCAACTGCATTTCAATATAATTGGTTTCCTTTATAATCCTATGTATTTGCTTTTATGGTTTCAAAAGTATTCTGAGATGGGGTCAGTAGGATTCACTAGACTGCCAAAGGAATTCATGACTTAAACAAATAGAGTCCCTCCCTACCCCTAAAAGTAGAGCTCATGCAGAGAGGGCATTCAGGTAACCGGTATGTGTTAGGTCTGATGACCTTTAAAGTCTCCTCTAATCCTGGATTAGAAAAGCAAGCATAGTTTCATTCTGTGCTTTCACAGCAGCACAGAATGTCTCTTAATGGTCTCCTTAACCTACTCACTTGATTCAGGGATTCTCTCCCTCCCTCTGCAAATCGTTCCAACTGACGTGGTGGCACACTGCGTACTTGTAGCTAATGGGCAACACCTGAGTGTCCACTCCACCAGCTACCCTGGAGGCTCTCCAAGAGTCAGGTGTATACATGCCCTACAACTGGGCTACCTGTACTGTTAATAAAAACTACATATAATTAATAAAAAGTGAAACATGTATATAAAAACAAAATTATTGTTTCTGAGAAAATTACTTCTGAGAGACTCAAAATTAAGTTACCGGAAATAAAAAAACAAACACCTGCTACTAACGTAAAGTGTGGCAGAACAAGCACAAGAGATTAAGGAAAAATGTAAACAATAGAAAGATTCTATTTTCGGAATGCTTTACGAGTATCTTTAAGCTCTTTCTCCATTTAAAAGAAACTGCAACCAGAAACCTCAGACTACATACATTATAGATGTGCTCTATATAAAACGTTACACAACTCCCATCAGCAGACTTTTACGAAAACAAATAAAACCCAAAATTCTTAGTCCCACACCAAAAGATCGGGCAGTGAATGTTTTTTTAAATATTTTAAGGTAAATAAAAAAAAAAAAAATGAAATCTTGCAGTTTGCAACGATGTGGATGGAACTAGAGGGTATTATGCTGAGTGAAATAAGTCAATTAGAGAAAGACAATTATCATATGATCTCACTCATATGTGGAATTTAAGAAACAAAATAGAAACATGGGGAAGAGAGAGAGAGAAAAAAAAACAAGATGAAATCAAACAGGGAGAAAAACCTTAAGAGAGACTTAATCATAGGAAATAAACTGAGGGTTCCTGGAGGGGAGTGGGGGGATGGAAGGATGGGGTAACTGGACATTAAGGAGGGCATGTGATGTAACGAGCACGGGGTGTTATATAAGACTAATGAATCACTGATCTCTACCTCTGAAACCAGTTAATACATTATACGTTAATTAATTGAATTTAAATAAATAAATATTTCAAGGTAAAATAAAATATTAAACCATGTACCCTCTTCTGTGATTCTATGCTAGAGCTGGGTTTTTCAATTATTTTTTTTTAAGATTTTATTTATTTATTTGAGAGAGAGGGAGAGTGAGAGAGAGCATGAGAAGGGAGAAGGTCAGAGGGAAAAGCAGACTCCCTGTGGAGCTGGGAGCCCGATGCGGGACTCCATCCTGGGACTCCAGGATCATGACCCGAGCCGAAAGCAGTTGCTTAAACAACTGAGCCACCCAGGTGCCCTCAGTTATTATTTTAGTCCTGGTCTGACAACACCGAGTAAGAAAATTTCTATTATGCTAATGTCAGAATCAGGCAAACATGTACTAAACATAAGGTGAAACCCTTAAAATGTTGAGAAACAGGTTTTGTCTCAAGTAGTATTTAGTCTTGAAAGAAGAAATCAGAATTCATGGGGCGCCTGGGTGGCTCAGTAGGTTGAACCTCTGCCTTTGGCTTGGGTCACGGTCTCAGGGTCCTGGGATCTAGTCCCGTATCGGGCTCTCTGCTCAGCAGGGAGCCTGCTTCTCTCTCTCTGCCCACTTGTGATCTCTCTGTCAAATAAATAAATAAAAACCTTAAAAAAAAAAAAGAAATCAAAATTCACTAACAAAGTATTCAATACATTTGAGAACAATTCATTGGAGTTCTATTTTCTTCTACATTGCTTTGTTTGTACTTAAGATTTCCGCTCATTAAGGTACATGATACTGTGGTAAAGAAGAGTAGTATTTTACTATTTGGCTCAAAAATCTTCCCTGTCTTGTATAACAAAACTTATTTCAGTGCTTCTGAAACTCTTTACCCGAAATATCAAGAGAGGAGTAAAATCATTGTCCCCTAGCCAGGGAGATCAGACGATGTAGCCCAAAGGCTACGAGTTAAAAGACTCATGTACCCATCTTTCTTCTTCCTCTTTCTTCTTCTTCTTCTTCTTCTTCTTTTTAAGTAATCTCTCTGCCTAACAAGGGGCTGGAACTCATAATTCGGAGATCAAGAGTCACATGCTCTACTGACTGAGCCAGACAGGCAGCCTGCATCTTTCAATGTGTAAATCTGGCATTATATTCTATGATTTATCTACATTTCTCAATATTAAAAAGCCTTTTATTTTTCTTTAAATCATTGAATACAAACTTGATGGGCCCCATATATTCTGTGGCTTTGAAGACCTCTCTGTATACCACAGTGCACTCTTGTAAGAGAAGCTTAGGCTCACTTAATACAATACGATTTCCACTTCAATTTTAACTTGTGTTGAATGAAAAGAGAAGTTCAACTTCAATTTCTGGAGAAGTGTTGTAAGGGATTAGGCAATCCCATACATGAATCAATAAGGGCAGAGGGAAATCTAACAAATAGCCAAGGAAAGGAGGCAAGAGGCAAGGGGAGAAAAGTTAAATCTTGTACTAAGCCAGCTGTGTACTTCTACTTGAGTCACATTCAGTATCCATCAAATTCTAAGATCAGCTGAGACTGCCACTCTTCCTTACAGGTGGGGCTAGGTCTCATTTACTGTTGTTGCTCTAGCACTCACCACACTGCCTGGTGCATGGGAGGCATTCTATGAATTTTAAGGATAATATTAGCGGCTAAGTTCTTATTGCCAGGTACGTGACATATTTTAACTCATTTAATCATCACAACATCCTTATGCAAAACCCCTTAACATCCCATTTTACACAAGACGAAACCAAGGCCCAAAGATTTTAAATAATTTGCCAAAGACACATGGCCTTTCGAAAAGCAGCAGAGCTGGGATTCGAACCCGGTCCATGTCATTCCACAGTCTGAGCTCTCAATCACTAAGCTCTAGCAAATGCTCGCTCAATGAATGAATGAGTAAAATAAATGATTTGTAAATGCAAATAAACGCAAATATTTTAAGCCAGAAAACTTTATCTCCTTACAGTGCAGTTTGTTGCTTCGGCTATTGAGTGGTTCTGGTCCATTCACATCTTTGCTCTTTTCATTATCCTCAATGGGTCGAAAATGAGCCAAAGTTCTCATGAATCCGCGGAAGTTTACCTGGTCCTCTCTGATTGGGAAACAGAATTAAAAGAACACCATCTCAATCTGAGTGATTCTTTCTTATGAATCCAATATGCTGACAACAGTTTTAGCTAGAGTGGCCGAAAGTCCATTTAACAAGGTCTTTTCCCATATGCACAATTCTTTAGGGCTCATATTAAGTGTCACCTCAACCTTGTGAGGTGGGTATTATTTTTCCCATGTTATAAATGATTAACCAGACTTAGTTAACAACTCAGCAGTCACCTACTCAAGTTCCTTATAGCTCTTTTCCCAAAAAGGATTTCAAGCAGCACCAAGGGCTACATTATCAGGCAAGCCAGAACCTGAACTCACTGCTTCAGACTCTAAATCAAGCAGTAAGTTAGCTATGCCAACCCAATGACTCCCCAGCCACTTCTCATGCTTCCCTTGCAGTCACATCCACCTAGTAATATTTTAAGGTTCAAGTATACTATGGAAATGCAGCATCTAAAATAAAAATTTTGCTATAAAAGCAATAAATACATTTTTAGAATATGAGGGGAAAAAAGTAGAAAAATACCACTCCTGTAGCAATTACAATTATTACTATCTTTTCTTCTATTCATTTTTCTATGCCTTTTTGGTAATTGTGAACATACTGCATATACAATTTTCTATTGTGCTTTCTTAGACTTTTAAGCACGTCTTCAACCAATATAAACACTTTGAAAGATTTCAAATGTCTGCAAAATCATTGTGTTATGATTTTATTATCCCCTCATAAATGGATAGATTGCTCATGATCATAATGTTGCAAAGACTCTTGTATAAAGCTTTTCTGGTACTTGAGACTAGAGAAAAATCTTTCTATTGTGCCACAGGCAAATCAGCAACCCTGAGAGAAATCATTCTAAAACTTCAGTGAACAATGTACTTCAAAGAAGAATATCCAACGTGACAAAGTTATTTATCTGTGGCAGTCATGGAAAGAACAGGTTGCGTGGTTCCTGTGACTACCTAAAAGTAAATCCCAGTCTTTTTTTTTTGCCCCACCAAATCGCTGTGGTATGTCGTGTCTCTTAAGTGCCAGGCAGACACAGAGATCAGTCTTTCTGAGGGTGCATTTCAAAAGCTAGCTCATGAGCCCACTGTACTCAAAAGAATTACCGTTAGTTTTTGAAGCCAGGTAGACTGCAAATGGAGCAGTAGATCTGGGGAATCAAGATGTGGAATAAGATTTGAAGCAAATGCCAGAACAACAGATTAATGAGTATAAATATTACTGCCATAGGTCTCTGAGTAAAAGGGTATACTGAATATCAATGCTGCACTTTCCAATCTCATTAAAAAAAAATTCCACTTGCATAAGACTAGGGAGAGAAGAAACAAAAAACCCAGAAACTGGGTATCTGTATCTTATTAGAGTGATTAGCAGAAGGGCCTCTTGCCGAGAGTTTAGTAGTGTGGCCTGGCACAGGCCTTGGCTTCCTCACGCACACCTGCCTAGCATCCTGAGCAGAACATTGCACAGGACGGCAGGTGATACTGTCATAGAAAACTGCTTCCCACAAACTGGTTTTCCTAATAACCAATGCTTACTACAGAACTCTGAAAAAAATGTTGGCAAAATGACTCCACTGGGTTTACTTTTCATTACAAGAGGTTTGGATACAAAGCATAGTTGTGGAAGTTCCAATGCTGGACAGGATCAATGCTATGTATGGGCTAAGGAGGAAGTAGGAAAAAAATAAAAATAAAAACACCCAAGATTTCAGCACAAAAACTACCAGAAACCAACAGGGCAGTTCATGGAGAAAAAAAGGAAAAAATGAAGAAGGGCAGGAGATTCCTCCTGGTCAACATGAATCTGAAGAGAGCAAGTTTCATTTCATTCGATTCCTGTCTTCACATAAATTAGCTGCTAGGCTTCCCCTCGCCCCCCGCCCCAGCCCAATCACTCAGCTTTACTGAATGCCCAAATTCTCAACTGCAGATTCTTCCGCTCTCAGTGCAGTTCTAAAATTTCCTCTCCATTTTATCTGATAATATCCTCGCTGACACTGAGTCTCATTATTAAGAAATTGGCAACCACTGAACTTTTTAAAGTCCTTTGGGTCATACAGATAAGTCACAAGGAACCAGGAAGAAACTGTTAAAGAGATTACTTAAAATAACATAATAAGCTTTATTCAGAAAAAGGTACCTAATCAAATCTATGAATATTTACTCAGGACTTGGAAGTCAGTGTATTGGGTAGTGAAGCGTATCAAAAGCCTAGACAAACCCAAATCTGTTTGACAAACTGTGTGTGGTGGAGGGGACTGTACCCTTAGCCAATGTTCTAAAAGAAAAATAAAGGCTGTGGAAATGTTCCACATTAAAGGAGGCCGAAGAGCCATGACAACTGACCCAGAATGGATCATGTACTGGACGGGGGGGGAAGTACTATCAGGGAAGTACTATCAGGAAGTACTATCAGGAAGATTAAAATAGGAATGTGATTGATATATTAGAATAAAATAGACAATGGGAGAAACCGGTGAAGGTGGTCAAAGGGTACAAACTTGTAGTTATGAGTAAGTTCTGGGAACATCACGTACAACATGGTGACTACAGGTAACAATACCTTTAGTGCTGTCTATTTCAAAGTTGCTAAGAGAGTGGATTGTAAAAGTTCTCATCATACAAAAACAGTAACTGTGTAAGGTGATAAATGCATTAACCTTATTGTGATAATCATTTCACAATATATACATATATAAAAACACTGTGCTATATACCTTCAACTTACACAATATGACATTTCTCAATAAAGCTGGAAAAAAACAAAATACATAATATTTTATATTAGTATTACAGCAGCTGATCGGTGCTATAGGTGTAAATTACACACAAGATTTCAAAGACTTAATATTAAAACGAATGTAATATATTAAATATATTGACTATATATTAAATTATTTTAAATACATCAGATAATAAAATACATATTGACATAATTAACTTGCTTATTTTTTACTTTTTTTAATGTGGGTACTAGAAAATTTATAATCACATATGTGACTTGATTATATTTTCACTGGCTGGAACACAGGGAGACAGAGAGCATATGCCAATGAAATAAAAGGTTAACGATGTAACCAGATGCATCTGGGTGAAAGACATACAGGAGTTCTTTGTATTTTCAATTTTAGCAACTTTTCTCTAAATTTGAAATTATAAACAGAGATTAAAGACAATTTTGAAAATAGGCTCATATACCTATCCCTATCAGAAGAGAAGTCTAGAACAACCAAGTTAAGGATGTCCAATATAGTCAGGAGGATTGTGGTCTAAAAGGGCCCAACCAATAACATTATTCCGGATTTGCCTCAGCAAGGAAGCCAACAACTGCAGGGACTCACCCCTCTGGAAAGAAGGCATTGATGATCCGGTCCCCCAATGGATTGATGGCAAGTTCCGGAATTCGCTGGAAATCTTCCCGGCTGCCAAGAGAATCACCTTGAGTTAGAGACTATTGGCCCTTAGCAGGAATTCATTCAGTCATGCAAGAGTACAACCTAGCAAGAATATTACCTCATGGAATTTACTTCTGTGGCAAATTATACCAAATAAGTGCAAAGAATAGCACTTTAGTACCTGCCAAGTGTTTCTTGCACCAACTCAGGAGTGGAAGAAGCCAGATTCGACTATGCCACATTCCAGTGAATTCAGCACACAAGTTACGTCAATAAAACAACTAACAAGCAAATACTGAGCTGTCCCTGTAAATCATTCTTTGAACATTACCATTTTGTACTTAGTTACTAAGTTTGGAGTGAACAGCAGCGCCAACTATCAACACCACAGAGCTTGTGTATAGTAGCAAAAATCCTGGACCCTTGCTAGGATCTACAACATCTATAAAATGCAAGGAATTCTTAGGCAGTGTCCAAGGAAAGAATTAAGTGTGACAACTAAGTGATTTCCATTACTTCCTTGCTCTGATTCTGGCCTTTTCTCCATTGCCTTCTACAGACCCAGACCACAGAAATATTTAAATCTTGATCCTGAAAGAGCAGTCATCCTCTCACAACTTGGAAGTTATGCTGAGATGAATATTATTAGCTGCCATTCGCTGTATATATACCACGTGCTGCTCTGTTTATACACATTATCTCATTTCTTTAGGCCAACATTTTATTTGTATTCTTTTCAAGTTGAGGAAACTGAGAGGCAGTGAGCTAAAGTAACTTGCCCAGTGCTATGAGCTAGTTAAGTGGCAGAACTATGATTTACGTCTAAATTTAAATTGAAGTCAAATACATGTTCTTTTTTCTAAAACAACAACAACAACAACAACAAAAAACCCACATTTCTGGGGCGCCTGGCTGGCTCAGTCAGTAGAGAGCATGACTCTTGAGTTTGAGTCCCACGTTAGGTGTAGAGATTACTTAAAAATAAAATCTTGACAAATAAAATAAAATGAAATAGAATAGAATAATAACAAAAACACAGGGTGCCTGGGTGGCTGTCGGTAAAGCATCTGCCTTTGACTCAGGTCATGATCTCAGGGTCCCAGGACGGAGTCCCATTTCTGCTCTCTGCTCAGTGGGGAGTCTGCTTCTTGCTCTCACTCTCCCTGTGTCCCCCAACCCACTTGGTCCTCTCTCAAATAAATAAAATCATTAAAAAAAAAATCCACAGATTTCTTGGGGTGCCTGCATGGCCAAGTTGGTTAAGCAACCAACTTCAGGTCAGGTTATGATCCCAGGGTTGTAGGTTTCAGCTGTACCAGACTCTGTACTCAGCAGGGAGTCTGCTCAAGGTTCCATTCCTTCCCTTTGACCCCCTCCCCTTGCTCTCTTTCATGCTCTCAAATAAATAGATAGATAAATAAATAAATAAATAAATAAAATCTTCTTAAAAAGTTGTTCACTTATTTGAGAGAGAGAGAGCACACAGCAGCAGGGGTAGGAGCTGAGGGAAAAACAGACTCCCCACTTAGCCAGGAGCTCAACCTGGGGCTCGATTCCAGGACCCTGGGATCACAACCTGAGCTGAAGGCAGACACTCAGCTGACTGAGCCACTGGGGCATCCCAATACACACACACACACACACACACACACACTTCTTTAGCATATCAAACACTCTGAAAGAAAGGTGCTCGCCCAAAAAATGTTCAATAAGTAATTTCTAAAAATTTCTTAGTTGATATTCAGTGCCAAGAATATAAAACTGTCTATAACATATCCATACTCCTCAAAAATATGGATGTTATGAAGGACAGAGAAAGGCAGATTGCTCCAGATCATAGGAGACACACGACTGAACTCAATGCATGATCTAGACTAGGAATAACATTGCCACAAAGGACATTACTGAGCTACGTAATTCCATACAGAATATGGAATTATGTAATAGTATATAACTATATCAAAATGCTAAATTTCTGGGGCGCCTGGGTGGCTCAGTGGGTTAAAGCCTCTGCCTTCGGCTCAGGTCATGATCCCAGGGTCCTGGGATCGAGCCCCACATTGGGCTCTCTGCTCTACAGGGAGCCTGCTTCCCCCTCTCTCGCTCTGCCTGCCTCTCTGCCTACTTGTGATCTCTGTCTGATAAATAAATAAAATCTTTAAAAAAAATGCTAAATTTCTTGACTTTGACACAAGAATGTCACAATGAAGTCTGTGGCAAAATATTAACAATTGGTAAATCTAGATTTCAGGTATGTAGAAGTTTTTGTATTATTCTTGGAACTTTTCTATAAGTTTGAAATGAGTATTTCCAGATAAAAAGTTAAAAAAAGTAAAATAAAAATAAAAATATAAAACTCAAATAAGCCCCACTCTTGCCTTCAAGATGTTTACTATCAGAAGAGATAAAACTTATTCCTCTACCCACTTTGTACTAACTGCTAATGAAATACCCCTATTTTATCCAGAAGCCTTTAATACCATGTTTCTCTTAGAACGGTTTAACATTTAGATGGTGCTAAATTAACTGAAGAAGTTCATCTCCAGCACATCTGGTGGTGACATAGGTTGAAACTGACCTAGGGGACTAAATGCAGGGCTCTGGAACAGTAACTCTGAATTCTAATCCTCCTTGATCACTTAGGGTAATAATTTTTACATCAATGAATGAACCAGAAGAAGACACTGCTTAAGATGATAAAAGATAAAGGATGTTACAGAGGTCCTGATTATTTGATTCCATAAACATGTACTAAGTTCTTATTACATAACTTGTTCTGTAATACAAAGTCCAAGTTATCACCCAAAGTGGTTCCTCTTCCTTGACAGAGGTTAAGAAACAATAACTACTCCCTTTTAAATGAAGATTAAGGCTCATTTGAATTGCATAGCCACATACCTCAGCTTAATGTCTAACAAGCTGGAGTAATTTTAGCTGAGAAACAGCACAGTTTAAATACCATGTCTAATATCAGGCAGTGAGTACACAATCCAGCCTGAACTTCAGTCTCAAAAGGGATCTAGTCTTGGAATTCCAATGTCAGTAAGACCAAAACCTGTCCTTTGACACTTTTTTTTTAACTCTACTCTTGGAATTTAGATTGTTTATACAATACAGTTTTATAAGACCAAGAGGAATACTGTTGATAGTATCAAGATTAAAATGAAAGAGTAAAAAACAATAGTTTGTAAACTGCTCAATAATACACAGTTTGTTATTATTAGTTGTTCTATAGCAGAATGGAGATCACATGGGCAATTTTTTCTAAAACATAACTTAAATTTGTCCACTGACGTGAACCTAATAGAGAAAAATATATACTCTAAGCAGCCCACACACGGAAGATTTGTTCAAAATCTGTGTGTACTCATAAAAAAGCATGCCAATATTATATTGTCCCTTACAGTATACCTGGGAAAATCTTCCTCAAAGATTTTTTTTTCCCTCAAAGATATTTTAAGAAAAGATATTATAACTGGAAGTAGGCAAGTCTGAGCATAGAATCATATATAACAGCATTCTTTTTTTTTTTAAAGAGTTTTATTTATTTATTTGGCAGAGAGAGATCACAAGGAGGCAGAGAGGCAGACAAAGGGAGAGGGGGAAGCAGGCTCCCTGCTGAGCAGAGAGCCTGATTGTGGGGGGAGGAGCTCGGAGGCTTGGGTGTCCCCAGGACCCTGAGACCATAACCTGAGCCAAAGGCAGAGGCTTAACCCATTGAGCCACCCAGGCGCCCAATATAACAGCATTCTTTGTGGCTAAGAAATTCCCAGTGAAGAGTGGTTTTCCAGACCCTCAGAAGGAAAAGGCTGTTTGAGAGACTTTTAGTAACCAGAAGGGCCAGCCCTCTACACTGATCTTCAGTATGCAGGTTCTCTCTCTGACTAGAAAATCAGCCTCAGTTAACTGTTTGTATTTCAAGCCCCAGGGTGGATGGTGAGATGACTTATATACATAATGAGGACATTAAAATCTATTAAAAGGACATACTTGAGGGACATACTGAACTAAGGAAAGTGTTCCATATTTAAGTGATAAAATAGAAATAAATAACTTATTATTTAGATTCAACACTGAAATAATTTCCATTATCTGAAGCATTTAACTAATAGTTTACTTTATTTATATTTTGTAATCTCTACACCCAACATGGGGCTCAAACTCACGACCCCAAGATCAAAAGTCACATGTTCTTCCAACTCAGCCAGCCAGGCACCCCCTTCTAATTAATATTCTAAATTAAATCAGTAATACAATTTTGTTGTTATCTTGATAATAGAATCATGGAAGTGTTAACAGGTGCCAAATCGTGTCTCTGCCAATTGTTTTAGCATTCCAGGGCCAGACCCGTTAAGCTGCAAGGCTGCATGTGACTTTTGATTGAACATGGTAGGCACATACACACTGACCTTCTCTCATTCTCTAAAACTGCCTGAAAAGTCAGCAGAAACATACACACGGAACATATCCCTGACATAAACAACCAGGGTGGGAGGAGTGCACTAGTAAACAAGGGATTGTGCCAAATTCTGGAAGTCAGGAAATCAATGCAAATGTAGTGACAAGTAAGTCAGGGTAGAGGGCCCATGAGAAGGCTGCAATGGAGCGGAGAGCCATTCCGCCCTGAAGAATCTCAGCAAGGCACCATACTCAGAGGTAAATGAATGAACTCATTCAGGGTAATGAGTTAAAGGAATTTTTAAAGAATAGGCCAGCTGCCCATTGCTGCTAGTCCCCATCCTAAGAATATAAAACCATTTGTCCCCAGGAGAAAAATGGAGAAGGGTTATGGAAAGAAACGGAAAGTCCTACCTGGGTAGGGCTGCAACCAAATATGAGAAGTTGGCTTAGGGGGAACATAGTCCTTTTATTTGGGGTTAGGGGGCCACAAATCTGTCCCTTTGCTCCTTGACCACATACCCTAAAGTGAAGTCTACCAACTTACTGGCCCTGCTCAGAGAACAGAGGGCTTGAAGTCAGCCTTTCCATCCAGGAAAGACCTGTGAAGAAACCAATCACAAATAAAT